CTGAAATCTTGTACATATTCTTGCAAATCATATCTGTAAAGTTCTTAAGGGGAATGTGTGTCTTGAAAAAGATCTGATTAAAAAAATTGAATTTGTAAAACAAGTAACATGTAACAGTCACTAAATATATTTTTTAGACAAATTATTATATTAATGAAGCATGAAGTGAATGTTACATGAAACTATCTCATTAGATAAATTTATTTTTAGAGAGTTATAAATATATAATTTAGAAAACACTCTTAGATATATGGTTTAATTTTTCAGTTGCCATGTGTGGAGTCAGGTTTTGGGCTCGATGATCCTTGCATGTCCCTTGCAACTCAGAATGTTCTATGATTCTAGAAGTATTTCTGTATCTGAGCTTCAGGATTTCCTAATGTTCCTAATTCCTAATATTTCCACCTTCTATCGTGGTTGCTGCTAGGCAGTGCACAAGATAGAGTGTAAACATGTTATAAACTGTTCCATCTTTGCCATGTATTTACATTGCTAAAAGAAAAAGTAATGCTTTTTATAGACTGCAGAATGTGTACTGATTTTTTAGCAGGTCAGAGAGATCTGGTAGGATAGTCCCCCAGCTGAACAAGGGATTATTTTAAAAATTTTATTCACACACTGTGTGGCTGTGGGTCTATCAGGAGATGTGTACTGGTCAAATATATTAATAATTTTTTTCGATGATGTAGCTCCAGTTCATTCAAATCTGTCATCCCTAACGTTTTGCCAATAACGTAGCTCCAGTTAATTCAAATCTGTCATCCCTAACGTTTTGCCTTATTTGTATATTTGTGACTATGAATAAACCAGGAAGACACATTCTGAGTTTTCTAGAAGATGAAGAAATTCTGTCCTCCATCAGTTATTCTTCTCTTCTTGTGCCATAAATCAGACTTTGTTGGAAAGCTTTTCTGAAAAGGATAATTTCAGGGCCTTGAGTCCCATCATTAAGACTTTAACCATCAGTGAGAGACAGGATTCTTTCAATTATGCTGTCCCATACTATTTTTACATGATCCCATCTCTTAAATTTGCAGGGTAGATGGTGCCTGCTCAAAATACACTTATTAATAGGTTAGAAACAAAAAAGGGACTAATGCATTGTGGTACTCAGTGACTCAACATTTAATAATTTTAATAGTATTTAAAGACTAGCATTATGAATTCCACTTCTGGAGCTGAATGACTAGGTTAGTCTGTGAGAGTTGGGCACCTGGAACAGGGATCCTGAGAAGCAGCACTCTGAGTACTGAGATGCTAAATTCATTAATAGAAAGCAACAGAGAGAAATGTTTAGCTGAAAATCTGTTTCCTACACTGTTATGTACATTTACCTCAGAAGTTCATTAAAACTGGCAGTTAGAACTTGAAACCCTGCCATTCAGTGGTCAGATCACTTTTCTTTAAAAATCCTTCAGTACAGTATGGTTTGCTGAAGAGCTGAGCACCTACGAAATTGGAAACTTGAGTTCTTTTTAGCCCAAGGAGTTTGAACCTGTATTTCTAGCGTCCTGTGATGATTTTCCAAACAAGCAAATCAGGTCCTTTCAAATACTCAGGTTTACAGATAGCTAGTTTCTGTATACTAGATAGCTTCGGGGGAAAACAAGGCACCTAGGTATTAGCCTAGGAAAGACATTAGGAAACTTTTCTCTGGTCATCCTACACCTCCATGGCTTCTTTAGAGGGTTTGCCACAGTATAATGGATCTCTTGTGTAATGTAAGCACCAAAATCGTTTCTCAGTGGCATTTGCTTTCTTGGCTCTGCCCAGATCTTCTGTTAAATCAGTATTGTGTAGTGCTGTGTACATTATGTTTTCTAATCTTGCATAGAAAAGAGATTATTAATTTTCTAATGGACTTTCTCATACCATAGTTGGTAAACTCAAAACCAGTAAAGGCGTTTAGGTACCTCACTGGCTTTGAAAAGTAGCTTTGTATCTTTATGAACATTGGTGTCTTTTACTTCACAGTGAATGTGAAGTATAACATTATAAATATACATATGTAACGCACAAATCTCCTGTAAATAAAAAAATTATCAAAAATAGGAAGTAGTGTGAGAGGTGAGGGGCCTGGGTTTTCAGAGTAAGTAGCATTTTTCCAGCATTTATCTTCCGAAGAGAGTTCCCATTCCCCTTGTGGAATTGTGAACAGTCGTCACTTCCTTTGCAGAAAAGGTCAAATATACAGCTAGCAGCTCTTTAGTGTAATAGTGTTCTGACAGAGTCCTTTGGCAGAAAATTCACTTGCCAAGCTCTCCTAAAATTTTACTTGTTGCAATGTCGTTCTTTCATTGGCCTCATGAAAGATTTCTTAGGCTCATGTTTTCCCTTTGTTTTAGTGTTTCACTGAAATGAAATTCCTTGACACAGCTGTTCTAAGACTTAAGACGTACAAGTGACCTCTAACTCCTCGGAAGTGTTCGCTTTCCTAGAATACCAAGTATGTGGACAGGCTGGGTTTAGATTTCATGCATTAGGACATAAGATAATGCAGGCAAAAGGCAATACAATGAATTGTACTTACATAGCAGAAACAATACGCAAATCCAGAAAATAAAAAGATAGTACACTCTGAACATTTTTGTTTCCTTATCGTCTTATCATATTCTCACAGATTAAATCAAATTAAATCATTGGGGTTTCCACGTTTATTTCCCTGTAGCTATTGACCACTAAAAACGAATAATTGTTGAATGCTTTTTGAGGTCTGCAAAAGTAGTTCTAGTTATGCATTTTTACATGAAAACGTGACATTTATTTTCATTATAAAGTAGGCTAAAAAGGGAAATAAAATATGTAACTATTTTAATGAGAATGATAAACATCTTTAATATGTGAAATGATTAAATTGTATGATGAAACAAAATAAATGTAAATGAAATAAATTTGCATGAACTAAGTAAAAGTGAATATGTGTTTAAATGAGGAATCCTTCTTTATTCTTTTACTTATTTCTGGAGGTTTTGCCTCAACTGAGATTTTGTGTTTCCATAAGGTTTTGTTTTATAAGGAGAGTAAAATTACATATAATGCAGGATCAAGTCTATTTTCAACCTGTGGAGCACAACTGGGTAGAATATTTTTATCTTAATTTTTAAAAGTTGCAACTTTTCTTCCACCCTTCAGATTCCCCAGTTTAAGCTAACCTGCTCTCAGAACAGGTTTTTTTAAATCAATCCTTACAAAACTTTTCCTCTGTTTATCTTAGTCATTTTAGAAACACATGTTCAGCTATACAGGTGCAGTTTCCAAATTAGACAAGAAGTAAGCCTGACACCTAATTTCTTTTTACTGTTTTTTCTCCCATCTGAAAATTTTAAAGTTAGTTCTTAACTTTGGCCTGGTCCAGAAAACTCTGAGCACTTCCTTGTTTGGTGAAGTTCAAGCAGAGGTTAACAATATTTATTATATAATAATATAATTTAGCAAAACATAAAAGTTAATAAATGACAAAGCATTATTAATTCTTTTCTATTAGAAAGACACTGTTTTGTATAGCTTTCATTTGAAAATGTTCCCTAAAGCGAT